GCGAAAAAACATCGATTCCTACCAAGGATGATACGTGAGGCTATTGAAATTAAAAAAACATCCTAATTTCAATAGAGAAGGAGGTTGGGTACTACTACCTGCTTGCGACCCTATAATTAATAAAATTAAAACTAAACCCAAGCATACCACCGCAAGATTTCCAAACACGGTTAGTTCATTCTGCGTAAATCGGACCAAAGACAATAATTAAAAAGCTGAAAGTACTCCGGATTAACTTTGACATCGGGACGTCAGTCACCTCAGTCCCCCGTGACCAGGGTATTAAAAATAACATAAATAAACGCGACAAAATCCGTAAAAGTAGTTTGAATCAATGTTTACTTTTATATTCAGCCTATACGTGGTGTTGTAAGAATATCCACTACTCCATATCATCCAGTGGATGGCGTAAGAGGCGTCAGAGGAAAATAAATGAGGAGATGGTCAGCAACGTCTTCCTCATGATAACTATTTCTAATATCTCCCTCATGAGGCAATCTATGGGGGAGGGCTATGTTCAGCAGTGGACTTTAATAGGCTGGAACGGATATTCTCAGCCTAAAACATCACGCGGACACATGCACGTCTGAGAAATAAAAAATACATGTGGCACTCGGTGACTGCCGCGGTAAAGCTATTGCATAGCATTTTTTATCAACTTATGCAATTATAATTATTTATTTATTTTATTTATGCAGTTAAGTCTTTGATATTAAATCAAGTTACACTTTTTGAGCGTGGTGACCGATAAGAAAACAATTTTTTTCTCTTATTGAATAAATGAGAAGTTAATGTTGTTTAAAATATTTTTAATATCTTACAATACATGTAGGTTATTCAGGAATTTTTATCATTGAGTTAGCAGCTAGTGTACATGCATACGTCTAGTCGCACGCACACAAACACCGTGCCGAAGTCTGCCGAACTGAAACGACGTTAGACGATGCACGGCTTTCAACGCCACACCTCCGTGCCCGTCAGAGTGGGGAGCGTGAGGTTTTTTCGTTACGGAATTTCTGGATTCGGTTCCCGCGCTCAAGGCCCGCGATAGAAGCTATGCAATAGCTTAAAAATTTCGAGAAGTAAAGTGCACACAAGTACCTACACTAAAGAAATGGGCAGACTTACATTTCCATAGCCTTCTCAGAAATTTGATCATATCTAGCCAAAGTGGGCCCGTACTGGCTGTATCTTTAGTTTTCTTTAATCTTTTCCCAACGAACCAATAAAAGTTATCACAGGAAAGAGAACTGAAAACGATTCTCAGCACACAGAAGAAATGAGCAGACTTACAACTCCAACGCCCTCCCAGAAATAAGAGTAGGCCTAGCCGCAGTGGAATATGTATTGACTGCAACTTCTCTTTTTTTATTATTTTTGTGTTACAACAGGAAATGGAAAATGAGAACGATTTTGTTTCCACGCGGACGGAGAAAGGAGCAGAAGATATAGTTGCAAATAAAGTTAATTTAATTGTACAACAGTGACAAGGTCTCCAAGCTCTCCACCAAGGTTTCCAACATATAAATCATAATTACATTTCCAGCATTACATTAAAACGTATTAAATGGACAGTTGTCACGAGCGACACAGTAGACCTTAATGGCGTTTTAGGTTCTATTTCTAGCACCCAGCACATTGTGTATGTGACTATTATTACTACGACCACTATTTTTTGTAAAATAATGGTGACAAACGAGTACACGGTCCTCCAGATGATAAGTGGATATTGTGGCCGTCGTACATACATATAAGCCGTCATATACGTCTTTATTTATCTTCGATTAAAAATCGATATGCAGATGCGTTGTCACCCCTGCGGATTAAATGGAATGCCTCGTATCCACTTAAAAGGGTCTCCCGTTCTCCGTCCACACGAAAGCATTAGGCGGCTTTTTTAAGCTGGTATTTTGTGAGAACGCGGTCCTTTTCCGATCAAACGGACCCATTCGTACTGCAACCATAATAAAGCAGCAACATGGTCTGTCATGAACATGCCACAATCACAGCACGCTATAATTGACCTACAAATTATTATCGTTTGAACGGGAATAAAGTGTTTATGTTTTTGCGAAAATATTAGTTACGATAGGAATTCGAACAGAATTCGCATATAGCTGGGGCTTAGTAACAAGGTATTCTTAATAAGGTAGCGGTCATCTTCAATGCATAAAAGGAAATCTAATACACATTAAAGAAGAGAAATATAAAATAATAATGTAGATCCACCGGTTTCACGATACGAACGTATGCGTCACACGCAAGCTAACAGTCAAGGACATACCGAAATAGATGCACACTTGCCACCTTTCGCCTTATATGTATAAAAGTGGTTCTATTAGATGCAGCTTCTAGTAATACGGTGACGTGTTAGCAAAAAGGATGACTTAACGGAAAAACTTAAAGAATACATATAGTTATTATGTATATACTAAACGGAAAACAGATTCAAAATAATCAACAGGCTCTTTACTTTCATAGAATAAAATAATAAAACAATTTGAACAAAAATTGAAACGAACAGGTAATTAAGTTTAAATAAAAAAAAACGATTTATTTGATAGACCTTTTCGTAATCATTATCATTAAAGACCTTCACAAGTCCACTGCTGAACATAAGTCTCCCTCATAGACTACTTGATAGGGGGAGTTATTTGCCATAGTTGCCACGCTTGACAAGAGGTTTGGCAACCACAGTTTATTTTTTATTTTTATACTATGTAAGGAAGACACTGCTCTCCAAATATCTCTCCAAATATTTTTTCCTCTGTCACCTCTTACGACCCTCATGGGATGATATGGGGCAGTAGACATTCTTACACCGCCACTGCACGGTAAGGGCTTACAACTTCGAAAATGAAAGCCAGTCAGCTTTAATTTTCAATACACTATGTCTAAGCACCGACTTAAGAAGCAATCAAAATGTGTGGATATTACTTTAATTAGTTTTTTGTAATCGGTATTTACCTTACTACAATATTAATTTTTGTTTCATTTTACCCCCTTTGAGTGAACGAAGCAATAACACTAGCCTAATGTAATAACTAAAATGGCGTCTAAATAGGTATGTACAATAGAAACTTAATTCCCTATTATCCATCCTTATAAATAGAATGTTTTCTTTACATTTAAATAGGACCTTCCTTAAAGCATAACCTATTTAATTAAAAAAAAAAAGTTAAAAAGGTTCAACCGTTTTAAAGGAATTCGTAAATATAGGATAAAAATACAACATACGCGTCGAATATACAACATGCTCGTTTTCGGAAATCGGTTTTAACTCAATTAAGAAATTTATCCTTTTCCGAAGTCGGATAGTAAAAAAAATTACAAAGTAGCAGAGCATTAACAATAGAAGATAGAATACCAAAATAAACAATATAATATGTCTGTAAACCTTCTGCTAATTGGATTCTATTTATGTACAACATCTAAAGATAAAAATTACGTCAATGTTACTAAATAGGGATATTACAGGAAAGAACTGTAAAAAACATATTAAGAGCATATAAATGGGTTACCGGACATCCTCAGAAATAAAAAAATATCAAGTGCGAAATCTACTCACGTACTCGTATTTTTATGTATAGAAAAGGAATCAAACGAACACACGACTCACGATCACCGCCCATAGAGGCAGCCACGAGCGTTTTAAAAAGTACTCGTAGTTAGCTCGTTTCTTTAAGGTCCCTTAAAAACGTATCAGTCCGGAAAAATCGTCGGTAGGAGATACCACAAAGACAAGCATCCAAATGGTGCGGTATCCTGAATTTATCGCGATATACGATTATGATGATGGAATTCGGTGATTGGAATTAACTTTTTTTTTTAATAGGAAAAGGGTGACAAGCGAGCACACAGTCCACCTGATGGTAAGTGGTTGAAGTGGCCCATAGACATCTACATCTATCCTCGTTTGCGAATCAAAATACAGATGCGTTGTCAGCCTTGAGGGCTAAGATGGAATGCCTCGTTTCCAGTAAAAACGGTCTCCGGTTCTCTACACTCACCATACGAAACACAGCAGCATTAAGCTGCTATTTGACGCTGGTATTCTGTGAGAGCGTGGTCCTTCCCCGGTCGAGCCGACCCATTCGTGCTACACCTATACAATTAATATGGCTGCAGCATGGCTCTACCACGTAAATTGAACTTGAACAATTCCTTTGAGCACTTAACGTGGTAGACACGATAAAAAATGCAAAGGGAAGCAACATCCCTTCGCAGCACCAGTGAATTTATTTATTTATTGTAAGTGTTTACAAAACACGTATCTCACATATTTTTATAGAGATCTATATTTGATATTTAATCTGTTAAACGGATTAGTATGAAACTGACCACACAGATATACCATGCCCCGGATTAACATTAGATGTATTTTAATAAGAGTAAAATAAAACTTAAAATCAAAATCAAAATACAACTGCGATTTGTAACGAAGATTTTCTTTGCCTCAGGGGTGATAACGCATCTGCATTTGATTTGTAATCAAGAATAGATGAAGGTGTCTAAGGGTTCACCTGATGCTTTTTTTATATAGAATATGTTGACAGTACACAGTCCACCTGATGGTGAGTGGTTACCGTGGCCCACAGACATCTACATCTGTTCTCAAATACGTATTAAAATGCAGATGCGCCCATGAGGACTAAGTCGAAATGCCTCTATCACGGTAAAAAGGGACTCCGGTTCTCCACACTCACCATGCGAAACACAGCAGCGTTAAGCTGCTATTTTACGTTGATATTCTGTAAGAGTGTGGTCCCTCTCTGGTCCAGCCGACCCATTCATGCTACAGCTATGCTACTAATATAGCTGCAGTATGGCGCAGTGCTCAAATGTCATATTTACTTGCATTTAAAAATAACTATGTAAGGAGTGAGACTTCCCTATTATTAGCGATCACAAAATTAACACGTGGAGCGTCTACTCGTATCTAAATGTTACATTACGTTTTGAAAATTGTTTTGACAGGTGGTTTAAGTAAGGTGCTCGTACTAACCTCGTATCCTATTTAACCTTAATTGCTTTGAACCCATATCACTGTAGCTTACCTGTAACAGGAAAAATATAATGATTAGTACTTATTACAGTTTATGATTGTTTCAACAGAAAACCTAATTCGTAACACGAAAGTGTTTTGCGTCCATTAGACTGTTTGTGTGCTTTCTTAAATTAATAATTAGCTGGAAGATCGAGCTTTGTTTGTAAATCGCAAAAAAAATTTTAAATGATTAAACCTGAATAGGTTTATAAACCTATCTAGGTTAATTGTACCTGTATACCTGTATACCAAAGAAAAAGTTAAAGTCAACTGCGGTGCGACTGATATTGAAACTATCTTTGTTTGCAGAAGAGAGCCATAGCAGCAATTTATAACCGAGAAACAAATAAGTCTTTTAGAGAAAAATTAATATATTTAATTTCGCCTCTCGGTATATTTAATAAAATTAAATGTATGTCACAATTTGAATAAAAATAGTTATATTACAGTAGTGACGTGTATTCTGTCAACACAAGAACAAGCTATTCATACCAATTACTCAACTCAAACAATCAGTTATTCCCTGACGAGGCAAATTATACTCCTTTACAACGAAGTCCCAAAAAATATGTAAGATTTTTCTATCAAAAAGTTTAAATATTTTTTTAAGCAAAAACTTCTCGCTATCATGCTGTTTATAAAGGTTTTCATATTTAATTGTATAATATAATATATTGTAAATTATTGTTTAATAAAAAATAGTCTTGCTGGGTATCTTGCTGGTTCCTACCACTGAGCATGCTTTTACCATTTATCCGATCGAATGGTAAAAGCATTATGTTTACAGAATAAGGGTGACAAACGAGCACACAGTCCACCTGATGGTAAGTGGATGCTGTGGCCCATAGACATCTACATTTATCATCGATTACGAATCAAAACGCAGATGCGTTGTCACCGGTGAGGACTAAGATTGAATGCCTCGTTTCCAGTAAAAAAGGGTCTCCGGATCTCTACACACACCATAGGGAAAACAGCAGTATTAAGCTGCCATTTTACGCTGGAATTCTGTGAAAGCATGGTCATTCCCCGGACGAGCCGACCCATTCGAGCTACAACCATAATATAACTGCAGCGTCGCTCTACCACGTAACTATAAAGCATAATAACCATCAAATGCCTTTTGTACGCCGATGATCAAGTTATTCTTGCGTCGTCGGCGGCCGAGTTGCAAATGATGGTTACATTAATGAACAGATCATTAAAATAAAGGGGTATGAAAGTGAACGCAAGTAAGACAAAAATTATGGTTTTTGAAAGAGATGAAAGTAAAGCGATATGTGAAATAAGAATAGAAGGGGAGTTGATCGAGCAAGTAGATGAGTTTGTATATTTGGGTTGCGTATTTAGCAGGGATGGGAGATACGATAAGGATATAGAACGACGAGTGAACGCAGGAAACAGAGTAAATGGAGCCCTGCACTCTATTGTGAAGAGTCAAAATGTGTCAAAAAAGGCACGTATGGCAATTCACAATGCTGTGTTGGTCCCTACTTTAACGTATGGTAGTGAAAGTTGGGTATGGCAGAAGAAGCACGAGAGTAGAATAAATGCAGTAGAAATGCGGTCGTTAAGGAGTATGTTAGGGCTGAATCTGAATGACAGGGTGAAAAATTGTGTGATAAGAGAAGAGTGTGGTTTGCAAGATGATGTTGTGACCAGGATTAAGAAAGGAATGCTTCGGTGGTTTGGTCATGTGGAAAGAATGGATGAGGAAAGAGTGACAAAGAAAATTTATGTTGCAGAAGTGAATGGCAGAGTCGGAAAGGGACGTCCTAGGCGAAAATTTATCGACCAAATTGGCGATTTATTGAAAACGGGCCAAATTAGGAGTACCCTTAACCGACGAGCATGCATGCGTAGGTGTATGGATGTGAAGGAGGCGAGAGAGGTGTGTCAGGATCGTGCCAAATGGTAGTCTGTAGTCTCTGCCTACCCCTCTGGGTGACAGGCGTGAGTGTTTATGTTTTATGTATGTATAAAGCATACTCGTAAATGACTTTGATTAAGTATTCGTGTGATCTGTATTGAATAAAAATTATTCTAATATATTCTATTTTATAATAATTACTTACTAGAGCCATTAAACATGTTTGTTTGCACGTCCTTGCGAATATCTCCCACTGGCCCACAAACGCTGAAACGCGGGCCATGTTAATGGTAATATGGCGACATACATTCAGCAACTCGTAAAATAATTTGCCGGTAATTCATAACAAGAAAGTAATACATGTGTTTATTCTTACCCTACTTTTATACTTACCATATAAATATCGTACATTCATAATGCATATTAAATATATATATATATTTCTCGAAACTGCTCATAAAAATCTTTTATATAATAACATCTAAAATTTTATCGTTACCGTTACACGCTGTCAAAAGTCCGCCTGAACAAAGGCCTTTCCTAAAGATTGCTTTATAAGGGCGATATTTGTCATAGTTGCCATAATACCCGCGGGATGATAGGCGATTTCTGAGTGGTTCAATTTATGTTATATTTCAATCAAAATTTTATCATCTACGCACTACGCATCTTATTGCATTCATCCCTTTTATGTATGTGCATAACTAATTAAACTCAAAAGTCTGCCGCACAGAACTTGTAAAATAGGTACTTAATTCTATATTTAATTCAATTTTACAATTATTTATATCGGTCTTATAACAAAAAGTAGTATGAATTTAGTCCCAGATTTGTACTAGAATCCGTTCCACGTAAGAAATTCCGCGGAAACATGCGAACTAAAATGTAAAGTACTAATTTGGCTTAAGGACTTATTTTCATTTTTCATTTAAATACTAACAATATTATAGGTGCAAATATTAATAATATTATTATTAATATTTGCACCTAACCACTTCTGCACGTCTAGCAGAGGCTGGAGACAAAAAATTTATCCCCGATTATATTCACCGACAAGAGATTTTATTTTGTCCTTATGCCAAAGCTTGTAGGAGGGGAAAATCCTAGGAAATGTTAGAAAAGAAACGTGGTTAACCAAACGGAAACAACGTTAGTGTTTAACAGTCATGTATTCAATTCATTGATTACATAGATGCCATTTGAAGACGTAATATTTTTTTAATAATATTGTTTACATTCAGATTTATAAATGTGACATGTCATCAAGTGGAAGGTCGCTTGATTACGGCGTCAACGTTCTTTTTTTAATAACAACGGTTCAACATTTTGTTTTAATCAATTATCGGTTTCGACTTGGTAGACTCTTACGACATCCAAGGGACGCAAACGTAATATAGGACATATTGTCGCACTCTCAACGGAGACTAGCCATCCGCGCCGGACAGGACAGGGTTAGTGCCAAGTGCATGGACAAGCACAGGTGCACTGTCTACTTCCTCACTGCCATAATCCGATGGGACGGTATCCGACACGGCCAACAAGAAATCAGGCGCAGGACCAACAACTTGAAACACAGTCAACTTCCTCACTCCGGGCTACTATTGTGATTTTCTCGAAAGATTTACCCAATAACTGATTTTGGCCAGACCCGGGATTCGAATCCAGGACCTCAAGATCACCAAGCGCATATATGACCACTACACCAATAACAGGCGTCAGTTTTTTTTTTCATACTGCCTTTTCTTCGTTAGGCTGTAAAAATACACTGTAAGCAAGGGCCTCTCCCACTATGGGAAGATTTATACTCTAATAGTCACACTTGGCACGAGGATTAGCGAATTATACTTCCTATCGCCGATTTTGGTATATCACATCTGGTATGTTATTTAGGATATTTCCCCATATTTTCCCCTTACGACACCCACGGGACGAAATGGTGGGATGAATTTTCTTACGCAACACCATTTTGTAATAATGCTGTGGAATTAATCGTATGTTTACAATGCTTCAATCTAATGGATAAGCAAAACATTAAAGAACCATTTATAAATAGCGTAGACATTTGGTTTCACTACCTGGAGTGTGTAAGTGAACAGTGGATATCATTTTCTTTGCAAATTTCTTTCATAAATATGTCTTTTAACATATTATATCATATACAGTCATCCATCCATCGTAGCCTATAAAATTCCACTGCTGAACATACGCCCCCCTCGAACATAGCCACATAGAAGGGATATTGTCATAGTTGCCACGCTTAGGTCGGCAGCACAAGTTTTTTTTATTACTAGCAGCATTTTTAGCTGTTATTCGAAAGGTGCTGCTGCCCATGTTCTGTTTCAGTTTCCAGCTGCCGCCTCTTACGACACCCACGGCACGATATGGGGTAGTGGTTATCCTACTAAGTGACGGTGTAAGATTATCGTATAATATATATCTAAACGGTCAAATATTGTGAAAGCCTACGGACACAGGCCTCTATTTTCATTTCTGAGAAGATCAAAGTTTAGTCCGCCTCGCTGCTCCGGCGCGTGTTGGCGGAGTTCTCAAGATTTCGAAATGTTTTGTTTCTCAAACATAGCAGGTTTTTGAATATAGATCACCGAAAATTTGTTTTAATAACTTCATTAGCACCGGCGTGGATCGAATGACAGGTTACTTGCCTTCATCCAAATTTACTGCTGACGCTCTGCCCCTGAGCTATCACGGCGTGATTTAATAATCATAGGTTTTCAATATTGCTCTCACATTCTTAGTTCTTATTAAAACCACATGACATGTAGTGCGGTTGTCAACCCGAATGCCAAGCTTGGCAACTATGGAACCTATGAAGCAATCGATGGGGGAGGCCTATGTTCAGCAGTGGAGTTTTATAGGCTATGATGGATGCGCGGGAAAGGACACGAAAAACAACTTAATATATATTATAACACACAAACGAGAATAATTACTCGTTAAATATCAGTAAATAATAATTATTTTAAAAAGTCTAAAAGAAATTTATCTCTTAGAATTAACATATAAACGTTCACAGGACGATCACAACTCATTACCTGAACAGAAGATCTGGGCGAGATAGGAGACGTTGGTGTCCGCGACGGGGGAGGTTCCGCCTTGTGTTCAGCCAGCACTCGGTGCTCGTGTTTCGTTCCCACCACCGAATTCTTAACGCGTTCCATACGCGCTTGTATCGCTTTACGAGAAATCACCTTGGTTTTTTCATCTTTAGTGCCTCCATCAGCCAGTTTCCTCATCAGCCGTGCTGTAGCGGCAACATTATGCTGCTGGGTGTCGGAATGAGTACGTGCGAGTCTAGTGGCAGGACGGGTGGCGGGAGCGGTACCCCCTGTACTACTTCGTGTAGTTTCGTTTCTATTGAACGGTACGACATCGTGTTCTGTATCAGAATCTGTAGGCAAATATCCTCCGCCTCCGACCGAAGAGACACCCGTTCGTAACAAGTTCTCGTGCTCGGCGTATCTCACCCGTTCGTCAACCTCTACGTTCCCATTTTGGGCGCGTTCCAGTCCGCGTTCCATTTCCCCGATCTGCCTTTCGAGTTTGCGAAGCACGTCGTCTGATGGAGGCGTCGGGCCATTTTCGTCTGGGGGATCTGGGGTTTGGAACGATTTCAGATGTATCGGATGAGCTCTGTTCAGTTCTAAGCGCTTGGGCACTATGCCGGTAGACGCGACTTCATGTTTGGCCCTTGACGCTTGAGGGGTTCTTTCTAACATTGCTAACGAAACTGGGGACGGTGGAGGAGCCCCGTTAACAGTTGGCGACTGAGCCTCTGGTGTCTGGGACAACCTCGGAGCGCGGAAGCTCTTCCGCATGAAATCTTCTCGAGTTAATTTCCTCTCCATTTTAATGAGAGAGCATAATCGTTAATTGCACATACACTTTTCCATTCGATTGAAGGTTCTTAATTCTAATTTATCACTGCTTTTTATGTGAATAGTTCCATTACACTGATCGGGTTCTCTGAAATTAAAAGAAATAAGCCTTCTGTGTCAAACGCATATGTTCCCCTAGCAGCAAAATGAACTAAAATGTTAGTGACAGGCGACTGAAGACTGCATGTGAACAAAACAAATAAAAACTCGTAACATTAAGAAAATCAAATTTACGTAACCATAGAACAACACATTTAAATATGTGTGATGACGCAAAACATTATTTTTATGATAGCACTGTTACCGATACGATAATCGATCGATAAGTGATTAAATATTACTCAAGTACACTATTGGCTTTGTGGCAACGACAAGCTAATATTGGACACTAAAATTGTTCATGGACAAATAAGAAGAAATGTAAAGGAATAATATATAATATTCATCAAGAAACATAACACTAATAACAAAAGAAATAATAATTAAGAAAAATAAATAATTACAAGGCGGCAGGCGAAGATATTATATATATCGTAATAGAAATCAATCAAACTGTGCTTCAATTGTAGACAGTAAACATGGAAAAGCAAATAGACCAGATATAAATTTGTACAAATTCAAATGACGCCAGTGACACTAAAATGACTTTTAATAAAAACCAAAATCATAAAAAAGTCCTTGTGTTAAACAAACTTGAAGTGGGATCTTAATGACACTATAATGACGTCCCAGAGAAATGAGCTTCCTTGAAAGGCAACTGTAATTCCAACGTCCAGAGTCGGAGCGAGACAGCAGCTACCAGAGTATCTGGAAAGAAAGAGATAAAACAATCGAGTTAATTAATAAGATGAGATATCACCGTTCACCAATACCCAAGTATGTCTGCGGCACACAAAGCAGTTCTTGACACGTAGATCTGAAATAGATGCAAATACCAACCCAGTCGACACTTGTATCAATAGACAAACACGAAGACAAACAAGCGGAACAGCACAAAACATAATATTCAAGAAACCCGAACCATTTTAATATCAATTCCGAACTCAAATTACAAACGTTAATTTTGATTTTGTAACAGAAGTTTACTTCGTTTAATATATTTCTTAAAAAAAAACACATTTAACGTTTTAAAATGTTTACAAAATTGTTTTTTTTTTTCATAAATTTAAATATTAAACCATTAATTATAAGTAAAATGATCTCTATTTTATCATAGGCGTTATTACAGCCCATCGTAAGGGACTGAAAATTTACCTTCTTTATACAAGCCAAGATCCCAAGTTATTTCCATCCATCAACTTGAATAGGTCGTGCCCCATTAAGAAAAGAGTCGTCCTATAACTTTTTCAATACGTGGCTGCCACTTGAAAACCTTTCTTCCGAAAGTTTAAGGATTTTGCAAGTCGTGTTGGATAGCTCATAAAATACGTGTATTTTAGGATAATTTAAATGTATTTGTAAAATGCTAAATTATATAACATGCTTTTTACGAAAAACGGAAATATTACGTGATTAAATTAATGTTCAAAAATTGAACATAATTTACTATAATCTACTGAATAAATAACAGACTAAAAAGAGATAATACTGTTTGAAGAGGAACATATTACTGGCTTTATTTGCGTTATACGATGTTCAATTCCCTACATAACTCTATCACATCAAGTTTACGTAGGCAAAACACCGTTAACTGAGAAATAAAACAATGTTTTATAAGGTATTATAAAAACCTTGATCCGTAGTGGGGACAATGCAACATATGGCGAATGTAACAGGCGTGAGTCATTCCGTACATCGACACAAGCAACCTGCTTACTCCTCGCATCTATGGCTTTAGGCTGTTTACATATTTGCGATTATAAGACTTTTTATCCGACTGTCCTAAAGAGAAGGTAAAGTTTTTCGAGAATATATATATGTATATATGTATGTTTATCTTTTTGGCATGTTATGTAGAATTAAACGGCTTGATGGATTCACACATATTGATGCGTCGTTACTCTTAGATTCGTCTAAATTGTGGGAGTCACATAAGGTATTATACTTTTTACTTTTCAGTAAACTTTCTTACGCAGTCGAGTTTTTTAATACTGTTTAACCTTTGGGGTTTTAACTTTTTTTATAGTATTGGGTGACAAACGAGCACATAATCCACCTGATGGTAAGTGGACGCTGATGGTGTGATAAACATTCACATTCATCCTCTATTAGGAATCAAAATGCAAATGCTCTGCCACTCCCGACTCCCGAGGACTAAGATGGAATGCTTCGATTCCAGTAAAAAGGATCTCCGGTTCGCAACACTAACCATACGAAACACAGCAGCATTACGCTGGTGTTCTGTAAGAGCGTGGTCCCGCCCCAGTCGAGCCGACCCATTCGCGCTACAACTATAATATAGCTGCAGCGTGGCTCTACAATGTAAAAACATAATAAACCCAAAACTTGAACAGTTTCATGTATCAGTGATCGAAATTTAAAATTAAAGATTTTAAAATTTATAATTACAAGAAAACGGCAAGTATTAATAAAAAATGAAATTATGCTATCGGACGTTATTAGATTAAGTTTTATACAACTTATTATGAATAATAATATACTATACGAATAGGAGCAAGAAGTAAACATTTCATAACTATCTTTTGACTTAGCCTTTTTTAAGTAAATATATAACAACATAGGTTAAAAATAATATACAATAAAGTTAACACACTTCATGGAGCAATGGCTTAGCAATCGGTTAATAAATAAAAAATAAATAATAGTTGCCCTTGTGCAATTTATGTATGTAAACTGCCTTTACTATACAGGAAGAAAACCTAGTGTATGGGTAACGTCTATTAAAAATAACTACACAATAACTAGTAACATTGATAGATATGCAGATCCAACCAACAAGTCCTAAAAATTTTACTCCTACTATATTGGTTTTATAGAAAGGCATGATTAAAGTCTAGTCTTCAATACTAGAGCTACATGAAGATTTAATATTTTAATGTGTATCTATATTTAGAATCTTGTGAAACATTATATTACGTAAAATCATCATTCGATTATAATCGCATTTGCGTAATAGCCTTAAAAAACTGGAATAAAGACATCATAATGTGTTTAGTTGAAAAACGCAACAGCGTGCATTCGACCGATGTTAATCGCACTTCAACCAAACGTGTTTTAAAAGACTAACATCGTTATGAAAAAAAAATCGTATGACGAACACAGATACAATCTCTCTGGATCATATAGCGATTATATGCTGCTTTAACTGCTGGGGAAAAGAGTTAATTTTGTAACAGTAGGTTTGATATTTCCTTCATGAGTGTAGTAAAGAGGCGAAACATGGAAACAAACCAGGAGTTGGACAGCAAACACTCCTTAGAAAGAACTAAAAAATAAAAACTATTGTTGTCAACCCTTATCAACGAATTAGATCACAAATTTTTCCAATAACAAAGAACAAATACCAAGTAGTACGTAAATACGTCTCTATGCGATTTGTGTTGAATTATGAATTAATTTAAATCCAGAATAATACAAATTTTCATATAATGTGATTATACGAAGAACGGGAGAATTTCATAAAAGACTTAAAAATAGTAACTGTAATTAAGCAAAAACTACTGCCGTCTTTTAATATGAGTACAAACATAAAGTAGAACAAGTACACAGGATTGAAAACCATTCAGACAAATGGACATTTGTTTATTATAGTTTTTACCTTACTGGAGTAAAAAGATCAAGTAAATGCGAATACCCAAATACAAAATGAAGTTGAAGTTGAAATAATTGACTTGAACTATTATTGCTGAAAGTTAATAAATACAATAGCAATTTAACACTGTTTACTAACAATAAGCATTAACAAATGTATGTCTAGGTCGAGCTGTCTCGGTTGGACGACGATGATTCGGTTATCCGAACGGTTCCAAGGTTCATTTACAAAAAAATTGTAAGAAATATAGTTTCAGTTCACTATTTTTATTAAAAACATTTGTAATTACGACTTATCGACAATCTTTCGGACGGTACATTACGATTTTAACTTTGCGTTTCATCATTTACATGGAATAACGACGAAAACTGCCCATATTCCTGTAGCATCAGTGAAATCCATCCAGAGGTCACAAATTTAAAAAAGTCACTGATCTTTCTGTCTGCCTTCTTCGTCAAATTTACTCTGTAAACAGCTGGAGCAATTAAAATTTAATTTGTATTGTAGTAATAATATTGTTTACGAGCTGCCAGAGTTTTATGTGCGGTAGTGACCACTGAAAATTTTAATTGCAATTTTAAGTTATTTTTAGAAAACTACTCAGAGGATATGAAAAGTCCGGCAGCTACACTTAAATAGCACGGCGATACTATTTATCTGTTGTCTTCCACAGTGAGACTAACGGCCAAATACTCAAACGCTGCTCAATTTTAGGATGCTGTTAATGTGCTGTGTCTATCACTTTAAGTCAAGGTGACTGTGACACCAAGAGACTTAACGACGTCTTGAAATTGAATAGCGTTTTAGTATTTGACCATAAGCAATAAGCATATTACTTTTTTTCACATTTTATATTTATATATATTTCATAAAAGGCTTTTAAATTTTTGCTGATTTCAATATTTACATTGCAACATACGCGAACAGTAATTTAAACTCATCTTAAACTGAATTTATGTATGTTATGAATGTAGTTGTGTTTTAGAAGAAACGTTATTACTTAAAACAGCCACAGGCTACGAATGGATCAACCTAAACTTAACTCGATACAACTTGTTGTTGCAACTTAACGAAACTCGTGAATTACGTCAAATGCGAATGACGCAAACGACAACAAATTGGTTTTTGGTTACAGTATGTTTTACCTTTTAGTTTCAAGTAAGCAATTTGTATTGGCTTATTCCAATACTGATAAAGTTAAAAACTTTTAGGAGTTTCATTTGGAATGTTTATCGGATGGAAGATACACGAAACGTTT